AGAGCTCAAAGGGGTGCTCAAAGACAATCAAAGGAGTGCTCTAAGACAAAGGACAAGATAACAAGAAGTGCCCCACCACCCCTCTACCCCCTAGACCCCCTAGACCGGATTCTTACGTACGTGTATCTGCGCTCTTGGATGCCGTGCTTATTCGTATACTCCCGAGAATTCTTAAGCCTTCGTCTCTTGAGCTGATTACTATTAGTGTATTAAGCATAACGTTCCAGCCACTTATAAGGTGATAAGACGATTTGTGGATATAGGAAGCGAGCCGCTAAGCTGTAAGCTTCAGCATGCCTCACAGATTTTAGCTCTCAGTTTGAAGGTTTACTCCTCATTGACCCCTCGTCGAGTTATACTGCAAGAACTGATTAGCCATGGTGAACCAGTGAAAGGCAAAGGTAGAGCACGCGCAGATAGAGGTGAGTGGTGAATGAACATGGCGCCTAGTAAGCGTAGGTGCAGGTGGAACTCACGCCCAAATTCGGCATCCTTGCGAAAACCGAACAGAATTGCACACAAGTGGGTGGTGCTCATGAGAAGTCTTCATAAAATGATTGTAAGATGGAGTTAAGACCTGTAAAAATTGAAGAACGTCCGAGACATCCACCTCATCATCCTCATCACCTGTCGTCCCGTTGATCGTCGATTTGCTCGAGCGGGCGCCAGCAACGTCTCCATTCGTCCCTGTCGCGTGCAAGAGTTGTCCAGTGGACCCTCCTCGCTCGAGGGACACGAAGTCCTTCATTCCTTTCGTTCAGAGCTTTCGTGAAGAAGTCTGACCATCGGGCCGGCGGTCGTCCAGGTGTTCGTTTGACGTCCCGAGGGATCCAGTCGGTAACCGCTCTGGTCCAACGGTCATCGCAAAATCGCATGACGTGTCCGGCCCACCTTATCTTCGATGGCAAGTGGCGCCATCTACTACACGCGAGGTTCAGATCCAGATTTGAGTTCGCTCAGGCTTTCCAGTAAATCTTCAACCTTACCTGACGGCATAATTAGTACGGGACCATCCTGAGACGAAAAAGCCTTGGAATTTTCTCTTGCTGGCCCCTCATAGTCACTGTATAGGCCACATGGCCAGCACAGCCACTATGATTCTGAATAGAAGCGAAGTTTGAGGGTGTACTCTGAACAGTCTGATTAACACCCAAACTTCACCGTCTGAAGCAGTTTGGTCCCACTCACGAAACAGAAGAAGCCAGCGATACAGAACAGAAAGCTAGAGCTTTAAGACCCTCCTACCTTAGTGCGAACCAGGGTCAACCCTACGTTGGTACAAGTACCAACGGGGGGGGGTCGTAGTTTGTTGAAGTTTGTGGTGGGGGGCGTACTTGTTTCGGTAGCACGAAATTATTGTTGCAAAATCAAAACTTAGGGCACCGGACCTCGTGCGAACCCCATGAACTCTCGCATTTTTGAGTGGAGGTCTCGTGGACGGCAATCTTGGCAATTTTGTTCCGCACCTGGTGCTTCATGTAAATTGGAGCCTTCGAAGGCAGCACGGCTAATTTTTTTCGATGAATTTGCAGTTACTCCGCAGTCACCTATGAGTATGTTGATGGTTTGTCCGATGTAAGACGCTTGTGCTTGAGATCATGCACGTTTGTTGGTACGAATTGGAAGAACTGCCGAAGGTTCATCAACATATTTCATATTTATTCGCTGAAATACACTTATTCAAACATGCTCTCCAATGAGATAACTTTATGGTATTACTGTATTTCTGGCGATATTATTGAGACTGCGGTAATGTCGGCGAACACTAGGAGTATCCTTAGTTCAGTAAACAGTCTCAGGAACGCATCTGGAGCTGTCTCGACGCTCTATGATATCACTATCGGGAAAAGGAGCAGTATTATACCACTGTACAATGGAAGAAGATCACGAATAATGAGACGAGGAACTGATTTAGGAACTAGAATTATTGAAGTAGGAGTTGTCCTTGCGAATGAGCCAGTAAGTAGAACATTCTCCTTTTCCCTGAAAGAATTGGGGTTGTTATTGCATTTGAAGACATTTGCAGACATATTTATGTGGCAGGTCATTTTTATAAGCCGTTTTCGATACTTGGGGTGTTTATTAATCATACTATTATATAAACCAGAGTTTGTTTGTCTGACCGCTCCCCAAAAATTCGCAAGTGTCCCCCACATGTTTATAATTCTTCCTTCAAAAATCACCTAGGGAGGGCGGGTCAAGTTTGGAATGGGTAGAGTATGAGTCGCTCTATAAGGGAAATATTGGCCATGCTAAACTCCACCTCCAGTGGGCGGGGCGTGCGTCAAAAATCGAAATTTCGTTGAAAAATTGCAGTTTTTGCTCTTCGGAACAGTCTAAAGACAGGGAAAAAATAGGGCCTTAATAGGGTACTTACCGCTCTACAACGGGAATATATTGGCCATGCTAAACTCCACCCCAGTGGGCGGGGCGTGCGTCAAAAATCGAAATTTCGTTGAAAAATTGATGTTTTTGCTCCCTGGTGTTTATAATAAGCTGGACGCAGTGATGACTTTGTTAATTGCCACCGTACACCCTAAAGAAAGGCCCTAGGCTCTGTGTTCAGATAGAGAAAATGCCTTTGCACCCGCCCTTTTGCGGGCCGCCTCGACACTATTGTCTCAGTCAGACCGTATCTTGAGGGCTTGCTGATCATTTCGCTTGCTCTCCTTTTTCACCCATTTGTCATCTACGGTTCAGGGGTATTGAACTAGCGCTTAGCATTTCTCTCGAGGTTCCTGCTGCCCTTTTAGTCCACCAATTGCCTACCAGGGCTACAAACTTTACCTCTCGAGTTCTGTGTTGGTCTAAGTGAGAGGTTTCCCGAAGAAAACGTCAGTGAATGTTTTCTACTCAATTATTTTCCCTTACAAGATCGTCGTACACATGAGATCTGATAAGCCTCGGATGTTAAAGACGAGAGTTTTCAAAATATTCTAACTCACTTTGATATCAACTTCACCGCGTTTCGTGGTGACGAATTCTGGGTAATCAATGTCCAGAAGTTTATTAGATTGTTCTGACAGCTGTATTTTTCCTGGCTCACCACTCGATTCCATTCGTGACGCCATGTTCACCTGAAACAAATTTTGGCCAATCTTGAAATCTTAAGTTCCATGAGTTAAGGCCTTTTTTGTCGTTTACTACTATTATTATTTGTTTTCATTTACGGATCATGTTCTTGGACACCGGTCGTGCAACAAATAAGTACAATCAAAAAAAATCAAAAATACATCAAATTCCTCGATTTTGTAAGACAAAGTTTGGCTCAAATCTTTGTCAGCAGCTCACGTTATCGCTCATCACGAAATTTTACAAACTATGATATTGCATAAATACCACTGAAACATATTGGTTTTCCTCGCATGCTTCCACCAGCTTATCGTTTCCAATACTTTTATATTTTTAGACTGGATTGCTTGCACCCGTCTGAATTCGTATAAGCGTCATTTTCTCCGTTTTGAAATAAGGAGGTTGGAGCCGACCCCGCCCTCTATAAAAAGGATAAAGGATAAAGCATTTGCCGTTGATCAATCCCTTTTTGGGATGCGGCACGCATTCTACTTCCATTTGTACATTCGCAGTGGCATTTGAATGCGATGTGGCCTATACAATGACTTGCGGGGGCCAGCCGATGTTCAAGTCAGTGTTTTTATCCTCCCAGACAAGTCTGGTACCAATTAACCGACCCCGGAGGGATGGAAGGCTTGGTTGGCCCGGGCGACTCACGACCCAGGATTTGATCCCCGGACCGCTCGCGTGGTAAGCGCGCCACTTGTCACTACGCCCACTTCCGCCCTCCCCCTATACATGATAAAATCCCACTGAAGAGATATGAAATTTTTATTGCTTACCGTGTTTCCTACATACCTGTTACTGGAGAGGTTCACAATGAAAGGTTGTCAAAGGAATTCTCACCTTTCTAGGATCTGCCTCAGTTGGTGTATATTCAGCACTCACTCCAATTAGGCTTATGACACCTCCACATGTTCATATAAGCGTATCACCGCGGGACGGCCAAACAGCGATGTCGCCCATGGCGCACGCACATCGCTTAGATCCCGTTCATAGATCGCGGTTAATGCGATTTGACGATTTAGCGGTTATGGTGAAAGGAATGTATGCGTATCGACTGGAGGATCGTCGACATATCGTATCGACGAATGGTTATTGGGCGGCGTCAGTTCAATCAATGTGCACCTAGTCCTTTGAACATAACCGCCAAATCGTCAAGTCGCTTTATCGCGTAATCGGCAAATTTTAGATCGATACCTATGTTTTCCTTTCAGCATTAGCGCCATTTCGCTATAACCGCGATGTAAGAACGGGACCTTAGCTCTTTCACGGGGTGCCGCTGTTGATGGAAGTTCAACGGCAGAATATTCCTTAATGTTCCCCCGTAAGCAGAAGCAGGCCCTCCTTCACTGCCCTCACCGTCTTCAGAATATGACGTCATCTGCCATCACCGTCGAGCTCAAGGAGGCCTACCGTAATCGCTCCGCCTGAAGCTGCTACATAATTTCTTCAATCGATTAACTGGTGAATAGCTTCCAGAGACATAGCTGTGACTATGCAAGACCGCTTTTGACCAGCGTTTCAGATAACGTCGTAATGGTCTATGGTACCTCGACGACCTCGTTGAGCTCGTACCGTGACCATGTTTCCGTGGAAAAATCTTCTGATGTCGTCGGGGTAAAGGTTTCATGAAGCTTTTTGTATAGACAGGAATATGCTCTTCAATCTTTGGTTAGGATCATCTGGTTTGCACTCAGGAGAGTGTCATCAATTCCGTTTCAAATGGGAGGTGAGGTGACTCTTTTTTGCCCTCCCCCTCCTGTACTTGACAAAGTCCCGCTGACGAGATATGAAATGTTTACTGCTTACCGTGTCACCGAAGAGACAGTATCTCGGTGAATTGAGCCCGACTACGGCGGCTGCCACTGGACCACTATGGAATCCGACGCGAATCACCAATTGTTCGGATTTGCGATGGGGAATACGGTAGGTCTCGAGGAACTGGAAAAGTCGAAGATTTTTGAGTTTTATGAATCTGTCAGTTCCATTTTCTTGAAATCAGTCTATTACCTGCATAATTTCCAGCGCAATTTCGGCGATGTTGTTGATGTGACGTTTTCCGTTCTCCTCCGGAATTCCGGACACCACCATGTACGCATCTCCGATAGTCTCTACCTGGAAAAAGTCACGGCTAAAGATTTAGGAGAATAGCGGTTGAAGGTCCAGCAACAAGAAATGTTGTCAGTTTCACTTGTGACGAGGCGTAGTGGAGACAGCGCAAGGCGTTGCCTTCAGCAGCATAAACTAAGGGTGAAGACTGTCCATCACTTAAGCCTTCTCGTCCTGAGGTGGCGCGCGCCAGTCCCGATAAATGCTCAATTGCGTCTCTTTTCGAGTTTAATCTGTAGTTGGCCCAATCAAGAGGAACTGCTTATTGTGGCGATCCTCAATTTGATAAATTTGTTTTAGTGACGCCGTGAAGAGAATAAAGATTGGCGGTTGATTTTGTCCCTTTTTTGGATCAGCTACGATCGTCCTTTAATTTAGCCCCGTCGTTACTTTTTTGGATGCCGTGTTGCCGAACATGAATTGCGGAGGTCATAGGCGCATGGAAATCAGTGTTTTATCCTTACGGAACAGTCTTGGGTAAGCTTTGTTCCCAACAGGCACCCGGAAGAGAATGGAATGTACTCCTTGGGCGCTGGACGATTCAGATTTGATCACCGGGTGCATTGGAAGGTACAGTACCTCCCATAACTTTGTTAAAAAAGACGCGGAAGACGCGGATCCGCGTCTTTTTCGTCTTTTTGCTATAATTTGATTTCTGATCGCTTTTCGACATGAAAAACTATACCATTAGACTCAGCTCGTCGAGTGCTATTAGAATGTCCTCTCAGATTTCAGAAAATTTCATTTTTCTATTCCAAAGTACCTGAGGCTACTCATTAGCGAGCGTCGCTCGCTATAATTACAGCCAGAGACAAACAGCTTCCACTAGTATTCAGCAAGCCTTTTCGCTTCTTTTTTTGTTTTGGAATAGTATGAAAAAAGTGACTAACGTGTTCTTCAGGTGATGCTGATCATTTTGATACCTGATATTCCCTATTTAAGTCAACTTTGTTTAAATCCATTTTTGGAACGAAGTTGCATCTTTGAAGCGAAAAATAAGGAGAATGGGCCAAACTATGACATCAGCTGAATAGTGTACCTCTTGGAGTAATATACGCTATTGCTGATTTATTTATACATTTTTCGGAGGTTTCCTTTTCGATGAAAAAATGTGAAAATTCCTCTCAAACAAGGGCCCGAAATTGACAGCTGGTGGCAGAGAGGAACTTGAAAAGCTTACTATCAGCAGGGTAGGTTAATTAGAAGAGGTACACTATTCAGCTGATGTCATAGTTTGGCCCATTCTCCTTATTTTTCGCTTCAAAGACGCAACTTCGTTCCAAAAATGGATTTAAACAAAGTTGACTTAATAGGGAATATCAGGTATCAAAATGATCAGCATCACCTGAAGAACACGTTAGTCACTTTTTTCATACTATTCCAAAACAAAAAAGAAGCGAAAAGGCTTGCTGAATACTAGTGGAAGCTGTTTGTCTCTGGCTGTAATTATAGCGAGCGACGCTCGCTAATGAGTAGCCTCAGGTACTTTGGAATAGAAAAATATGAAATTTTCTGAAATCTGAGAGGACATAGACGATCCAATCGCATCTCCGGCGGACGGTCTAGAGCTCTAAGGTTGCGATATAGTATTTTCATGTCGAAAAGGGCGATTCCAGTCATCAAATTATGCAAAAGAACGAAAAAGACGCGGCAGGGTCGCGTCGTTCCGCGGCGCTGGTGCTTTTTCTAACAAAGTGTATGCGGAGGCAGGTATGTAGTTGCACGACGATATGCTACCTCATGTCCGCCCATTACGTTCTTTATTTAACAGCAAATACCTTGTATCAAATTTGTTGATAATCTCGTCAAATCCGGAGTAGACACTGTTTAGTAGAGTGACGACCTGAATAGGGTTATTTTTACTCGAAATGTGACATTTACAGGGGAAAACTGATGAACAGCTCAATCACCTCAATAGGAGTTGAAGTTCCACATAACTTCGTGAATCCAACGACGTCCGTGAATGGGATAACAGTCGCGGAAGAGACATTTTTCGGAGGCACTGGCGGTCGCGTTTTTGAGTGGTTCCGTTGCCACGTATCTTGAGGAGTTTGAGGGAGGGACAATGCACATTTGCGTATGCATAGTGAAGACAGTAAAAGCAAAATAATAATTTCAAATGTTGTAAAAACTGTGGGGGGAACCTATGCAGTGCAAAGAAGCGAATTCGATTGAAATACTATATTAGGAGAAAAAGATTGGTGAAAGGATTGGTGAGATGGAAGGAAGGATTTAACAGCACAGAGAAGGAGAGTTGGGAGATGCAGATAGCCATTTTTTCCCCTTTGGTAGAGGAGAGTAAATGCAGACAAAAAAGGAAGAGAAAGGACGAGTAAAACATGAGATTAAGATGTGGATACAAAGAGAGAAAAAAAATCGTAATCGTAAGAAAAAAAATTGAGCTGAGCTTGAAGGAAAGTGGTTCTAGAGGGAAGAGGAGTGAAAAGACTAGATGGATGTCTGTGATAAAATGTACGAAACATATGAAGAGTTTAGCCGCGAAATCAAAAAGAAAATGGATATTTTGATAGGGAAGAAAGTCCGCGATGTGGTCATAGCGAAACACTTGACGCAGGGGAGCGTACATTTTGGACAATATGAGGTGATTAAAATAGGAGCGCCCCCCCCCCCCCCCCCCCCCCCCCCCCCCCCCCCCTCCCCCCCCCGCCCTGGGCATGAAACGGTTTTTAAGTAGAAAGGTAGGGGAAAGGGGAAAGCTATTCAGATTGTGCCGATCTATTTCATACACAGAATTTCTAAGAATATCAAAGGTTCTACTAAAAAGAGTTTAAGTTTGATACTTGGGTAGAAGTTGGGAAAGCAATTTGTCGGCTCGAACAGTCGCCTGCTCAAGCATTCCCGTTCTCTCATTCACAAGTTTCTCCAAATTGTTCGCGTACTCCTCCATCATCCGTGTCATAGAATCGACCAAACTTCCTTTTCTGAAATTTTCAGCTTGATGGATGGGAATTGCATTTCGTCCTCAGTTGCAACATTCTATATCAAATATTTGTGAGCTGCTGGTAGCTGTATCGGAAACATAGTGCTCCAACTGCGCTTCAGAAGCTGAGGAGAAAGCAGAATTTTTCTCTGTCATTTCAGAGAAGAAAATTTTCAATTAGCGTAGAACCTCACAAGCGGTAAGAGAAATTGTTTAACCTGAGGCAGGAAGCGTCATTTTGGATGAGATTGGGCAGTTAAGAGTGGTACAGTGGACACTTGCATTCTAGGGAGGGGGGGAAAGCGGTCAAGCATCAGAATCACAAAAATGCAGCGAAAACGGCACTGTGAGTGCCGCTTTCGCTGCGTCTTTGCGATGAAGGTTTCTACCGCCTGAGGCGTTCTGGAGCCATTTACCAAATGCCTTTACGCCCTTTCCCAATGATGTTGCCAGCACTTAAATTAGTCTCAACTCTCAGCCATCGCGGCAGCTGCCCTTAAATTATGAATGAAAAATCTTACGCCTTTAGGATGGACTGTGCCGACAGTCGGACGCGTCGAATCGATGGGCGAGCATCAGGCGTGTCGTGCCAGCAATCCTTTAACAATTGTATTGTAGTCAATTCCTAAACGGACTTCTTATCTACCGTACCTGTAAGAGAGCCTGCAGATCCGGATGAAGTTGTTTATCTTTTTGTACTGATGGTCGAGAAACTTTGTCCCCATTGGCTGCTTTCTCGACGAGTTCTAAAACGGCAATATTGAGTTCACAAGTACTTGTTGAGTTCTGTTACCTCTTCCTTACCACTGATGTCAGTTTTGTCACTGTACGGTAAATTTCTGAAGAGAATCTCATACATTACCATTCCGAACGCGTAAATATCGGCAGACCGTCTCTTCTCTAATGACTGAAATAAATCGATGATCCTGAGGTTCAGAAAAATCAGTACTGCACTTTCCACCTTCTCGAACTCTTACACATCGTTAGATAGGGGCTGCGAACTAGGGTTCCCATATATCAATGGAATGTTGACCGTTACCCTTCTTCAGTTACAAATGTCCCTCGTTTTAGCCCACAACTTTGGAGGTAACTCCCTATACCCTTATGTACAGAATGGTGGACCTTCCTTGCTACTTCATCGCTCGTCTTTGTCATACTGAAATTGGTACACCTGAAATCGTGATTTGCTTCAAAAATTGGGTCTTGGGTGATTTCATCAAAATGACGTCATCCCGCTTACGACTGGGTTTGCGCATTCTTGCAGAGTGCAACCCAATCTTCGAAGTAGAGAGGAAGTCTTTAGCATATGATAAGTTGGAGAAACGCTGCCCTTGCAATTTTGAAGTTCTCCGTAGGCGAATTATGTAGGTTTCTAAGTGCACTCCAAAGGAGGACTGATAAGGAGGAAGTCGAGGAAGGGCAAATATACCGAGTCGAAAGGCAGGCAGGCCCCTATGGGTGCGGAATAACGCGTTTTACGGTGAAGAATATTTGCCCAGAAGCCTATCAGGGCCGTACCCGCGCCACTAGCGCCTCTGTAGGCCCGTCGATAGGTAACTCTTGCCATCTAACTATCTGTTAAGCAGAGCGAGCTTTGCGTAAAGAGCACCTATGGGAGTCGCATCAATGCGGAAATTAACCGCAGGGTCCATTTTTCGAGTTCTGGTCCGTTTCTCTTGATTTTTTTCACCTCTGCGCCACTGACCACCTTTACCTTGATTTTTATGGTCTGCCTTTTCATGCTTAGCTCCGCCTCCAAAAAGAAATCAGAAGCGGTTTTGGCTTGTTACGTTCCGCCACCCGCTTTCGACAATGTAGTGCGAAAATACGGTTTGAGCTCAATTATCATTCCATGGGAACCCCAGTGTCGGAATGTCCGCTTTTTGACCCCCCCCCTCCTTCCATCGCCATCGCAACATCTTTTTTTTTGAACTCAGGTAGCATATGTGCTGATTTATTTTTTGAATAAGGAAAATGGAAAATGGAGTAAAAATGAACCTGTTTTACCCATGTTTGATCCACCCGTCGACTCTTATTATTCTCGTTTGAAACTCTTATTTCTGGAGCGACGTAAAGTATAGCTAAAGTAAATCGATTTGATTCCAACAAAGATTCTATTTTTGTATTTTCAATGGCGAGTGTTTGCACTGAAATTCCAAAATATTTTGCCTATATTCACCTACAAGGGAGGGCTTTCAGAGCATGGAGCGTTCTTTCACAATGGTTTTCTGAATGTTGTAGAGACTCATGTGAGGAGCACAGAACCTTGGCCGGGGGGAGAAATGACTCTAAGTTCGATACTTCGTGATGACAAATTTTTGCAATTTATGTTGGCGCCTCCAAATTGCCGCAAAACACGACAATGACATCTATTCTCGACGATGGCGCCATTTGGCGGCAATCTGGGGGCGCCAAACTATATTGCAAAAATTAGTCATCACCGGGGATCGAACTCTGGACCATTTCTTCACCATTCCTGGAGGCGTTCAGGAAAAATGGATCATGGTTCTGTGTTCCTTGCCCCTACAACATGCAGAAAACCATTTCGAAAAAGCGCTCCATGTTCTGAAATGAAAGACCTCCCTTGTTAGGACGTAAGCAAACCAGCCCTTTTGGCGCTTCGGCTGGGACCGTATGCTGAATGTTGGGGAGGGGATGGAGTCCCCGACGGTGGACGGACCACTTCAACTCGGTCCTTAGAACCGCCACAATTTGGTGCTTACCTCAGAACTAAGCCTTAAAGAGAGGACGGGTCCGTCCCCTCTCCAAGGCTTAGTCCTGGGGTGAGCAAACCAGCCCTTCTGGCGGAGCTGCTGGACCAGCTGCACCACTTGCGTCAGTACTCTCCTATCGTACCAACCGAGTTGAAGTAAACCGTCGACCGTTGGGGACCCCATCCCCTCCCCAACATTCAGCATACGGTCCCAGCCGAAACGCCAAAAGGGCTGGTTTGCTTACCTCCTTGTTAGACCACTGTCAGACCTTGTGACCAACTGCTAGTGAGTCGCGCGCTTTTAGGAGTACGAGCGATGCGCGATCGTTGGAATCGCAGGCGCACAGCTTCAATTTAAAGGAATCTTCCACGGAAAAAGCTCCGCCCTCATTACCACAGAAAACGATACCTTAAAGGAATCTTCCACGGAAAGAGTGATCATTTTGTCTTGTGTGTAGGATTAGTATTATCGAAACTAACGCTTATGTTCCGTTCTTTTTGCTATGCTCATGAGGCTAGGGGCCTAAGGGGTATCGTTTTTCTGTGGTAATGGAGGCGGAGCTTTTTCCGCGGAAGATTCCTTTAATCGGTAGCGACTGGTTGCAAGGTCTGACACTCGAAAAAGACATGTTTTGTGTCGTCACAGCTCGAAAGTTCGGTGATATCAAAAACAAAATTTCAGGATGATTCTAGAATCCACAAAGTAAGTTTTCAATTAGAGAACAAACAGGTAACTGTCATAGCCTCTGGTTGTTCTCGTCTCTTTTCCTACCTGTCTTCTGGCCAACCATCGTTTTTTCCTCTCCATCCTTCAGAATCTCCTCGTTGAATGATGCCATGTTTCGTCCACCTGTCCACAGCATCACTGATTCCTGAATTCAGTCATGTATGTACGGGCTGGATGCGAACATTGCACAAGTCCCACTGCTTTCGTCAGGCCATTGAACATGCCTGATTTGAATCCAGAAAATTTCCGGTGAGGGACCTTTCAGGGGGAAAGGTGTGATTTCACAAGGCTTTTTCGGAGAAGGCATGAGCTAAAGAGCGCCTTGCGCTCAAGTCTCCCTTAGCCCTACTATGCAGGCAATCTTCTTCTCTACTAAAGCAGACCTTCATGACCGTATTTCAGGGAGCTCCGCTGTATCTTGTGCCGTGTAGGGATGCATTTCTAAAATCCAATAGCCTTCCTCTCAAAGAATGTGAGCCATTTGCCAGTTTTAGCTGTCCATTTTCACATGAAAACCTACTGAAACTTGGTTCGATAACGCTCTAGAAATTTGTTGAGGAAGAGTTTTTACCCCAATTTTTTCAAGACTAAAAGATCACGTTTGCTCATATGGTGTATCAATCGTGTTATGAACTAGGCCTATAATCTTTCCACTGATGCTCTATGCTGTGTGTGAAACCGTACTTATGAGAAGCTCATGTACAACCCCTGAAAGTGGCAGTGCTGCTCAAGGAACATACCATAGTCAGTCAGCTTAACCTGCCAATTTCGATCGATGAGTGTTGCCCACGTTGTAAGAGCTCCATGAAATCCAATGGTTGATAGATGGAGGTATTCCAAGCCCTGAAAGAAACTCAGTTATTTTGTTCAAAATTTGGCTGGATCGCTCGAATGACAAACCATTGTAATGTCCTTGACGAATGCTGCATGGAATTTCTTCGTCTAATACGAATTGGTCGTTGTAAATCACATCCTGAAAAGAAATTCTCATCTTTTTTCCAGAGTTAGGGAATAAACAAAAATATGCTTTCACATTTTCTGTCTTGAACTTGTAAGAGATAAGAACGAGAATTCGCTACACTTGCTCTCACGTCATATGTATTAAAGAAGTGAAGTCTCACCTGTAGTGTACCTCGCGAGCAGAATTTCCACAAGAGTAGCATTTCAGACTTTTTCATTGAAGGCAATACCGAGGAAGGGATTCAGGTTGTCGTGTACTGCTTGTTTCATCTTAACACAATCAATAATTTGTTCATCTCTATGAGTGCTGAGAATTTTG